CAATAGAGATTTGGCCCAAGAAACTCTGTGTACTAATATTCGAATGCTCGAAATAAAGTCCCCTTCGAAAAAGACAGCGAAAGGACTAGTGTGACAGGAGGAGAAATTATCAGGCAATGGTGCTGTGGTTGACTTAGTTGGTCGTTGCCTACCTTCTTTAGCGGGTCTTCTGATATTAGGATGGGTAAAGCTGTGGGCGGGGCCAACGCAGGTATGTGGGGCCAACGATGGGGACGACGCACGGTTCGCGCTACTTAATGTGGAGCAGCGAAAATGCTGCAACGACCAGGCTTTTCGCAAGCGGAGGAAAAAGGACCTCCTAACAAGTCACAGAACGTGCCTTTTAGATTGGTACGAAAAATGTGTGTACCACGGCATAAATTAGCGCTGCACTACGATGGAATCTGTACTAAAGAAGATTCACTAACCATCCTCTCCAGAGAATCCTTTCACGATATCTGGTTCGAGAATACTGGGTCCAATTGCGTTGACCGCTCGTACTTGAACTTGGAATGGACGGAACGTTGGCTGTTCGCGGATAATTGTATGGTTCTGAAACGAAGTTCTTCATGTGTATGCATAGTAATCGAGAGAGGCCCTCCTAAGGCAATCCAATTTCGGCGCTTCTGCTTGGAAGGGGCAGAAATGCAGTCTTGTTTGCTGCGGATGATGATGCATTTTGCACCTCCGCTAGTTTCTTTTTTAGGTCATGTTAACGACAAACTTCGCTCTGGTGGGACCTGTGAGCAGCTGTGAAATATTGCAAGTGAACAATTTTAGTCGCAGAAATTCATAGATATTCGTAAGTTCCGTCGAACACCTTGTTATGCCCACACCAAGCCAAACTACGCCCCAAATTTTATTAAATTCATTGTTCACGCCGATCGCAGCCATCGTCACGCCACACTCTCTCCGAATCGAGGCATTTTCGCCGAAACCTACATAAAATGGCTTACAAACTCATGGGCGTTCGGCATAAAAGACTTGCCTTCAGAGGAACCTGACCAGGAACTCATTAAAGAGCAGCCAACAGTAGTGTTTGCTGCGGATGATGGAGTACGTCAGAAAGCTGGGTTTGGCGAGCTGCCAGCACCGCACGCCACCGCGTTGTGATCATTTCTTGAACTTGAAGAATACCACCCCCCCCCGACCCTGTATTCCATCCTCAAATACAACCTTCCCCGTTACCGTGTAACCTAGCCTCTCTAGGTCCTACCACTTTTTCCATTTTTCCCGAAAAATTTCTGGTTTTTCCCCAAAAAAATTTTGCTGTCGAGCGGGGAGGGAAGGTCATCAGGAGTTAAATATTATCTACAACTACCGGGAATAGTAGTTGTAAAGATCTTTGGCAGTCCTTCTCCCAACAGCGACCAAATACGCCCGCCCCCTCCTCCCTCGCAGTCATACGCACCCCGTTTTGATCATCACAACGATCGCGTGCCCTGGATGGCAGCCCTTTCACCACCAGTCGTTGAGGCATGTAAGCGACATACTCCGTAGAAAATGACTGACACGAACGGGTATGAATTGGTTATATCGCTAGGCAAAAAAAAGAAAAAGGAACGGGCTGGCGCTGCGCCAAACCCAGCTCCCTCTTCAGACGCCGCATCATCCGCAGCAAACGAGACTGTATTTTTTTCTACGAAATACTCACCGAAAGTGGATCCTCAACAACGAATTCCGTCCAGGCCGTGTGCGGTTCATCCAGTTTGTACCTGCAACGACAGTACGTACGGTCGGGAATATTTACAATATAAAAATGCATAGATCTGCGTTTACCCGAAAACGGCACTGATTCCACTTAATCATGAGAAACTGCTTACCTGACAAGGTACTGTAAGTGAGGAGCATTCCAGTAATACTTCTCCATAGGTTTCCAGTAGACCACCAAATTGTCAGGTTCTGTTCCTTCAGCACGTACACCTTTCGGATTCGAGTATGGAAACGAGGGCCGTGTTTGGCAGGAGACCGTCTGCATCTTGTCTGAACAGCAGGAGGATTTCGACGCGAGGTTACTGCACTGCCAAACTTCTATAGTACTGAGTAAAGGTGGTGGGCGCAGTCTGGCGACGGGGGGGGGGGGGGCGGGGGGTTTATTCGCACTTTGCTGCTTCCCATCAACGCCTCGACCTATCTACAGCATCTTCTCGAGTTGATAGGTTCTAACATGATGGCTTCATGAACTTGCTTCCGCTTCACAAGGGTTCACAGGTTCGCCAGAGCGAGACTAGAAACCGGAACTAAGCGCAATGAATCACAAAATGCCCCCCCCGCCAAACAGCGCCAAGTGGTGTTTAGCCCAGGGAACCTTTTGTCGCACTTCCATAGATTGCGATATGGGACACCTACGGTCTGGGATGCCGGGACAACGTACTCAAAAAAGTCCAGTATTGACAAACCTTCGTCATCCAGCGCGATATTCCTGTCTGACCGACCATGTGAATTCTCAGCGATAACTCGGAATGTGTAATTCACCTGAATGGCCCATCAAAATGTTTGACTTACTTGAATCTTGGGCCAGCCCTAGTCAACTCACCCACGGCGTCAAAGTGACGTCAGCTTCAAAATTCTCTCTATTCACGTTGGTCTCATCCACGACACGTTCCCAGTGACCCTGAACAAAGCTATGTAACTGTGGTCTAATCGAAAAGAATATAGTAGTTAACGTTGTTTCAATATGCCTTTCAAAATCAGCCTAGCAAGAATCCGGGGCAAGATCTACCACTTCAAATTTTTCGGACAAATTCTATCTTATTGAACTGGACCAGCGCTTACCTTGCGGAAATCCGTTTCCATTTCGACAGTATATTTCTTGATTTTATCTCCATAATCTTCTGCCGATTTCCATTTGATTACCGCTTTTCTCTCAGTACAGACTGGAGGTTCCACAAATGGATGAGCAGGAACGTCTGAATGAAAATGACTATGAAAGGGGCTTCCAAGAAATTATTGCTGCTTTGTCTCCCTGCATTAAATAGGTGGACCGTAGTCATTTTGTAACTGGTTGACTTGTCTTACAGTATCGTTTTCATGACAGATCCACAACTTTATTTTCAGGAATGCAGGGCGCACCGTCACGTGAGATCTTGCACTTTTGTGCATGGTCCTCTTACGAAACCCCTGAGCGTCTCGGGACACTTGTCAACTGCGGAGCCTCCCTTCTCTTTCATTTTTCTTTCTCCTTCCTTATTTTCCTTCCTTCCTTCTCTCTTCCCTCCTCCTTTCCCTTCTCCCTTCAACTGCTGGGCTAGTAGATGCCATGAGAAAATACCTCTAGGACACTCGCAGCGAGAGCATGTCCGGTTGACCTTGTCGTCTGCTCTTTATGTTTCTTTCCCAAAAATAAGGTAGAACGAGGTCCATGCAGGTGATGCCATCCACAGGTCCGCTAAGGCAGCACCGCAGCACCCTAAACTTCCTTACCAACGCCCTCCATTTCCTCCGTGGAGGGGCACTGTTTTCAGATAGGAGGACACTTCACTTTTTCAGTTCGTGATGGTGAGATTTTAAATATGATCGAAATTGCCCACAAAAAGCGGATGCAAGTAGTAGTTTGAAAGTAGCTTAGTTTACGAAATGGATCTTGCCATGTGCGGTTGACCATGCCTATAGCTGTGGGAGTGAACGTTTTTCACCACTTTTGGGAGGCCTGAGAGATAGTGGAGGGCGTGTTTCGGACCTAAACCTATGCACCTAATGTGCCAGCGCCGATCGCGAGGTCTCCAGCGCACATGAATCTCAAAATGCCTATATTTTCCAGACGAAGAGAGCAGCCAAACAGGAGAGGTCACGTATAAGCAGAGCGTTTGACTGTAGTGACACGTATGCCTGGGGCACGTTTGCATCTGCTGCTCTGCCTGAGGTGGAAAATGGCGAGGGAAATACTGTGGCATATGATAGCCGTTCTTCTTTCTCTCATCAAAAGCATTGTCACATATCACACTACCAGTCGGATTGCCCGGCTTCGCCGGGCGACCCTCCTTCCGCGTGCGCCGTGTGAAGTGGGTAGTGCCCACAGTTTTTACATGACGGCCAGTCGCATCGGCCCCTAGAAAACAATCATCAAAACTTTCTATAAGGCACTCCCCTTAGTGATGAGGAATGCAGAATAAACTATTGCCGACGGTACCAACCATTTGGTATACTCCCTACGGTTATCCCTCACTAACTTCATCTGCCAAACCATTGCTCAGTTTCACCTTACTCCCCATTTCCTGGGTTTTTCGGATGCGTTTTGAGGGTTTTTGTCCTCGGCACCGTTCACTTCGGCGAACGCCCTGCCCATCGCGGGTGTGCTTCATTCATTTCCGTCCGCCAACTGTTTGCCTATCGTTTCCCACAATTTCCGCTCTCCGGGATCTTCTGGAACCGAATTGCGAATTTTTGAAATATGTAGCTCACAACTGTGCGCACGCCCCGCCCACAGTGGGCGGGGCTTAGCTTAGTTCATGTGTGTTCCGTACATCTTGGCCCATGCCCTACCCAACCCACCCTTGACCCGCCCCGCCTCCAACTGGTTAGTAGGATAGGATCTTATGTTACCACGTCAAGCTTCTGGGTTGCTTACATTTAAGATTCTCACTTTGACAGTCAGCCGGATCGAAGCCAATTTGACATCGACTTCGGTGATGGCAGCACAGTCAATCGTTCCAGTATGGCGACCTCGAACCGAGTTGATACGAAGGAGATCAGGAAGGATCCTGTAAATCTTGCTCTTGTAAACTTTCAGTATTACTGTACCACTGCGATCAAAACCATCTGAGACTATTTCGTCTGCTCAATAACTTAGATCAATTCATTTATGGAAGTTCATTTATTAACTTCGCTGTAGCCCTGATGCTTGGTAGTTTATTTGGGTTTAATCTAGAGACAAATCGGGGCCCTCACAATGTCCACTTATGGGAGGGCCGTAGCGAAGGAATGCGTTATTGTGGGTCTGACTCCGCCCATAGAGTTCCCGAAGATTGGGAGATTTAAGCTTGGAGGTCGAAGCCGGAACCGGTGAGAAATCAGATCGTAGATAGATTGGAGCCGGAAATGCGAGGGGAAGGTAGAATAAGAAATAATACAACTCTGAGCAAGCCCCGCCCTCTTTTTCGAAAGTGTTTTTGCCTTTTGTCCCTGAAAAGTTTTTGACGACTTAAGTTCTTGAAATTGTTAAAGTTCTTACTCGTAAACTGAATTGTTTCCTATTACTTCTCCGTTGGCAGTCCATTTGTAGGTGATCTGAAGACGTGGATCAGAAATCGCCTCACAGTGCAATTCGGCTGAATCACCCGCTTCCAACACCAGCTTTGGGGGTGAAGGCACTTTCACGAAGTAGGTTGGCTCTGAATACTCATGAATACACATGATTCACCATAACTTCATGCGCTAACCTATATCCCCATATCCAAGCGATGGAGTAGGCGTGGCTGCGCACTTGATTTGAGTGTGGCGTGGTATGCGTTGTCCTGGGGTTTCTCCATATGAGAAAACTACCAACCAATTTTGTGTTGGATGAGGACAAGGTTACAGTTGTTTTCATACAGTCATCGTTCTACCAGAAACACAGCCGCCGCCTCATTCAAATGAATTCTGCAGCCACGCCCACTCCATCTGTGCGATATAAGGTGTACAAAACTCACTGTAGAGAGTGTTTTAATATTCTTGTGCCTTACGAGGTTGTTAGGTGGAACATTTATTAAAATGGCCTAACGTTTCGACTGAATCGTCGTCTTCAGAGGCCTGAATGTGTTTCAAGCATTAGATATGCAACCTACCCCACCAAGCACCTCGTCAACTCTAGCGGTTCCGACGTCGTGTCAGGAACCCCTCGAGAAGACGCCAATATCGCAAGACAGAGACTCACCAGTGGTTCCACCGTTTGAGCGGATAGGTCCGCGGCCACACTAGAGCGCTGTCAGTAGAAAAATGAAGAATACGACGTCTCCGTATAATGACATATCAGGAGACGCACGTCACGCTCTGTCATTCTACAGTCCGCAGTGGGGTATAAACGGTAGCAGGTCATTTGTGATGGCAGGACACTCATCTCGGTTGTTCATTCTGGGTTTCCTAGTGAATATCCAGAATGCTTCCAACGCTTTTCTAGCTGAGAGTTCCGTTTCATTCGCCAGCACACTGCACTTTATTTCGAATTCGATTCCATTATGTTCCACAACCTTATGCCTCCCGAGAGCAGTTGTAAGAGTACCGCGTCTCATGCTAGCAAGATGTTCCTTGATACGAGTAGCCAAGACCCTTCCTGTCTCCCCAATATATGTGGAGTTACATGCCCGACACTGGATTTCATATATTACTCCCACTTGCGCACAGTCACCAGTTTTCCCGTGTGGGCAAGTAACACAATTTTCTGATATGCACTGCTTGTCGTAGAGCCTGTTACGGACGAGCTGCTGTTTGATGTTTTCATTTGGTATATTTACCAACTGGACATCGTCCTGCAGCTGTGCTCTTGCTATGCTCCGTTTTATTGCAGCGCTTACTTTATCAGAAATGAAAGGGGAGACATAAAGGTATCTTGTTTGAACGCGGTGCGCCTTGTGGACCAATATGCCGCCTTCCCCGAGGGCGTGGTGCCGTATAGCCATTCATAATGGCTATTTTTGTGGCAAGCTCTCGTGATTCTTGTCGTTCTACATCTCCTGTGCACATTCCCGTTGCTGTTTGGAACATGTTTCGGACGACAGCGCGTTTCACAGCAGTTGGGTGTGCTGATGTAGCGTGAATCAAGATGTTTTTCGAGCTGCTCTTACGGTACCACTTAACTCGAGTGATACCATTGGATATCCTTAACTTGCGTGTTGAGAAATGGCAGCCAACCGTTTTGCGGGGTTTCTCGTGTCAGCTTAATGTACTGTGACTGTTCATTCATCAATCGGAAACACTCATCCATTTCGGATTGTGTTGATGTTACGATGAAACAGTCGTCTATGTATCTACAGTACATTAAAGGCAAGCGCTCCAGCACCGGTTCTTCTATCCTACCCATAAAGCAGACTGCGAGAACTGGTGCAAGACCGTGCCATAACGGAAATTCATTTGCGGGACTCCACGGTTTATCGTCGCGTATGCGAAAAGGACTTTTCATCACAATGCAAACGACTCAACCGTATCTGGTTGTGCATAGGAAAATCTGCAGGACTCGATGATAAGTTCATTAGTAGACTCAAACTGGACAACCCGAACTGTCCAGTTTTCTATAGCCTTCTGAAGACCCATAAACTTCCCTCTCATGGAAATATGCTGCCAATGCCAGCGGATACATATAAGATCCGTCCTATCATAAGCTGCGTGGGTGGGCCTACCGACCGAATATCATGGTTTCTTAACACCATCGTCAGTCAGCTTCTACCCATGGTTCCCTCTCACCTGCCAAATACGAATCACTTCCTTGAACAGCTGCGGCATTGCGATATCCAAACAATGCTGTGGTAGAGTCATTTGATGTTACATCGCTTTATACTAATGTCCAAAACGAGCAAGCCCTTCAAGCATTATCCGAAATGCTTGACAGGCATATTGCTAATATACGAACCTTTGGACTTGGTAAAGCGCACATAATGACTCTAATCAAGGAATGTTTGAACTGTAACATCTTTAAATGGGCAGGTACATACTACTCTCAAATTAGAGGGCTAGCCATGGGTCAGCGTCTTGCACCAGTTCTCGCAGTCTGCTTTATGGGTAGGATAGAAGAACCGGTGCTGGAGCGCTTGCCTTTAATGTACTGTAGATACATAGACGACTGTTTCATCGTAACATCAACACAATCCGAAATGGATGAGTGTTTCCGATTGATGAATGAACAGTCACAGTACATTAAACTGACACGAGAAACCCCGCAAAACGGTTGGCTGCCGTTTCTCAACACGCAAGTTAAGATATCCAATGGTATCACTCGAGTTAAGTGGTACCGTAAGAGCAGCTCGAAAAACATCTTGATTCACGCTACATCAGCACACCCAACTGCTGTGAG